ATCACAATCATCATATTCATCTTAATGCTTATATTTTAGGGACCTATCAAGGAACAATATTTATCAGATTGAAAATGAAACTTTCACAAATTTGCGATTTCTTCAAAAACTGTGAGTGTTATTGAAATATTCATTTATTGTTAGCATAGGAAAAAGGACAATTTCATGTACAGTTTGTAATTTATAATATGAAGTAAAATCTTCAACCCTTTTTAGCTTGATTGTAATCTTTTCCCATTTCATTAATATATTGAGTGTACTTGATCGAACTGATGGCAACACTCTTGAAAAATGGATTCCTTATAGGAACCTTTCTGGAAATAGCATCGCTTCAATCGATCCACAACGCTTTGAAAGGACTTTCTTCATTGAGGACTCTGTATGTTAATAGCCTACCTCCTATATATTATTCGCTTGTCACGCACAAGCGTTTCAGTGTGAGGATTGGTATAATGCTCAGTGATAAGCGACAGAAGAAAACATTAATTTAATTTAGCACGTTGCCTCGTACTGAAACCTTTGTGGGTGACAAGCGAAGCATATCTTGGAAAGAGCTTTTTTTCTTTCGAGCAAAAACATAGTTTATCAGTTTGTAATAAATATATACTCTCTTGTTTTCTTTGCAGAGATCTTTCTCAGAATGCAATCAGAAGCATCACATCCATTAACATCATGGATCTATCTTCTCTTATACATCTGTAATTGAGTCGAGTCATGTTAGACGAGTTGTTGCAAATAAGAAACGAGTTGCTGCAAATATTAAAGGGGAGGGAGGGAGGGATGGAGAGAGGGAGGGAGGGAGAGAGACAGAGAGAGAGACAGAGAGAGAGAGAGAGAAGAACGAAAGAAAAACAGAAGGAAACAGTTTTTCTACAAGTTTTGCATGCGTAGCACAATATACTGAAAACATAAGAACATGCGTAATAAGTAAATTACGAGCCTTAGATGAAACGACTGAATAACCATCTTCGCTTGATCTAAACTGGGTACGACCCAAATATCTAAATTTAGATCTTTGGGTCGGACCCTCTTCAGACTGTACTCTAAACCAACTGAAGTGGAACATGGTTCAATTGTTTTATTTTAGCCAATCAAATCATTTAAATGAATGTGCGAAAGCTCTAGCAAGTCAAGCAAGCTTCGCCAGTCAGATGAAGGTTATTTCGTATTTCACTATTGCCGTGTTAATAG